AATGATAAATAAGGTAATATATTATGCTAATATGGTTATTATATTTTATTGGCATATATAACAGTTATCTGTATAAATTATATAACACTATGACAAGGTAATGTTTTATTATATATATTTATTAAATTTTATATTATCATCTCACACATGGATCAGCATTTTCTATAATGTCTAAATTCTAACTCAAAATACCTATCTGATATGACTTAATATATAATTAGCATCAAACAAACAATATAATTCATATTCTCAAGGATTAAAGATTAAACGGGAAAAAAAAAAATGTTTTGCACAACCATCAATTAGGTGGCGATATGCACTAAGCATGTAAACGACCATTGAACAAAAGAAGAAGAAAGAAACAGCATGGCATGCTTTTTCTTAGCGTCCGTTTCCATAGTGACTCGTCGATTCGTCGCTCTGTTGAAAATGTCTTGAGTCTTAACCAGGAACCATACTCCGAGTTGAATGAACTTACTCCTGGACACATTTTTGGAACCACATACCTCGAGTAAGCAAGATTTAGGGTTAATCAACCTAAAGTTCAGGGTTTAGCTGACGGTAAGTGTACCGTGCTTTCTGGAATACAACCCTGGTCACTTTGGTGTAATTTAAGGCATCCTTGATGAATAAAATAAAATTTCTGACGTAAAAATTTAGATCAAGAATGTATGTTAAGTGATTCAGGTTATAATTACTTAATATTTGAAGTAGTGCTCTCAAATGATTAATCACGATTAATCACATCCGAAATAAGTTTTTGTTTACATAATATAAATATACCGTGCATATTTATTTTGTATATAAAAATTCACAGACATACAGTATATATTTTGAAAATATTTACATGTATATATTTATATTCATATAATTTATATTATATATAAATATATTTATGCCCCACTGTACATACATGTGTGTCAATTTATATATACATAATAAATATACAGAGCACACACACATACATTACGTAAACACTTTTTTTTTTTTATTATTATTATCGCGATTAATTGTTTGACAGCACTAATTTTAAGACAAAAAAAAAACTAACCAAAATGTTTGAAGTATATCAGTACATATTCTGCCTTGCAAGAACTACAACAACTTAAATTATCATATTCGGTCATCCAAGCCATGAACAATAATTAAAAAAAATTAAATAAAATCACAAATCAAAGCAGCATGTTTATAATATAATAACTCTTTATCCAGCTTCACATGCAAAATATTATCTTTCCTAACGATACAATATCTCTCCATTTTGGCATTTCTGTCACACACAATCTCATCCACAGTGCCTTGCACAGTCATCTCAACACAGCCCTCCACAACCAGCGTTCCCACTCAAGGTGACCCATTTAATGCTAATGCACACTCACGTCCCCTCTTCCTCCTCTGCCCTTAATTCGACTGATACGCTATAAAACTAAATATTCTTCTCGAAGGGAACAAGCATTTAAATTCAGATGATCCCCCTCACTCACAGGACCGCACAGGCCTCGCACGTCTACACACGTCTGAAGAGAGCATATAAAACACCCTTATTGAGCTTCACATCAACTGCAAAATCAAACAGTCATTTAATAGATCTTAAAACATGAGATGCTCAAATGCTAATCAGTGTGGGTGTGATTGCACATTGCTGACAAATAAATAAATTGCTGCCTAGCTTCATGCATTTGATGTCTTTTCACTCATTTTAATGAAGTAAGCTTGAAAACAAAGTGCGGAGACACTAATAGAATTTAAGTGACCATTGCACTAGACCGAAGGACATTCAGACTATTTGACTATTTGACTGACAAAAACACAAGAATATTAACTGCTTTTTGTTTGTTAAAATGCGAAAACTACTAAATGATAAGTACACAAGAATATCTCAACCAAAGACAAGAACAAACAGCAGTTCTTGTTGTGTTCGGTTATGCACAAAGGGCCTTTCATGGCCCCTACTCGCTGGGATAACATCACTTGGGTAGACTTGAGAGAAACAATAGAAAAGCCATTGCCAATAGTCAGAAACAAGAGCGTTTTCTGTGAGGAGTAAAGCGCTGAGCTTTTTAAAGGTTTGCTTGTAAAGTTTGCATCTCAAAATGCACTTCTAGGGAAGTACATATCGTAACTAAACATGAAATACAATGAATATGTTTTGCTTCACACATATTAACAAGTGCAAACATAAAATATGAATATGAATAAATAAAATATAAAAGCTAAGATGATTATTTATTTGTTTTTATATTCATCTGTACATGTTTTACATCTTTGCATATATCCATGTTATGCTAATCTAATAATATTTTGCCTTGTAAAAACCACTACAACAATTACTGGAGTTAATAACGACTCATCTATCCTGTTCCTCTATTAACATGCAGGCTCAAAAGATGCACCTCCTAATACAAGATTCGGGTTTTCCCAGAGCAGACTTAACAGCTTCAAGTTTTCATCTATGCCTATTAAAATATTTAACAATACGTGCAATCTCTATTTAAGGGTCTAAGTGGATGTATGACAATGCATTGTTTGTATGAATGCACAAATGGATTGTTTATATGAGAATGAGGGATGCACACTGTAGCCATATATAGGTTTGACAAATATGTGAATGGGATGTGCTTTTTTTGTAAATCAATATTTACATTAACGGTGCTTGTTTCAATATTATTTTTATGTAAAAGAGTGCAAGAAAAATAACTATTCTGTTCTATTCTATTCAAGCAATATCAAGTATGCAAAAGAGCTGAATATCTGCATGGCTCAGTACAACAGCACAAAATTGCAAATTTGGTATCGATTGCCTTTATGCAACAGTTCTATAAATGAGAAAATAATATTCAGTCATTTACATTTTAGACACAACATGGCAAGTTATTTTGTGTATACACTACCACTTAAAAGTTTGGGGTTAATAAGATTTTTTTTTAATGTTTATGAAAAGAATCTCTTATGCTCACCAAGGCAGCACTTAAAAAATTACTTTGAAACTATTTTCACTCAGAAATAGTTTAACAAACAATTAAAAAGAAATGGCCAGCAACACATTGCATTAAATGTGAAATTTTGAAGTTCAAATACTGAAATAGTGTTTCAATCAAATTAAGTGACCAGAACTAACTCTATTCTATTCTATTATGTTGTATTCTATTCTATAACAAAAATATCCAAAGGCAAGACAAATTTAATCAAGCCTCCTAATGAGGGTAAACAGTCTTATTTTCATAGACTCAAATATACTGTTCTTAATCAAGTATGTAAAGAAATCCAAGTTTCCAAGCCATTCTGAATATCTGTAAATAGATTCTAGGCATATATGCATTGTAGAATAATGATAGGTGAAAGAAAAACAAGACCGAATACAACAAAAAAAGAAATGGTCATTCTATGATTTCAGCTGCAATTTTGAATGCATTTAATGGAGGAGGGAAAGCGCTGACTGACCAATTACTAAAAGCAAAAGCCCGGTTTTCTGTTCTGGCACAGGCTGAGGAGTATACTTGCTGCTGAATTTATCTGCCTCCTTATCATAACAATGATGCATGGGAACTTGTGGGACAATGTAATTATGCATAGAAATATGATTGGATTATTTCCTATCCATCATCAATTCTCCGCCATTCCAATCCATGATTATTTAACATATTCTTCATAACATCAAAATCAATAAATATACTGGAGATATGCAACTAGCCTCTGATTTAGTGACAGTTCCACATGCCAACATTTAAAAAAACAAACCTCTGACTTTCATTTTTGACCTTTAAAGTGCTTTCAAAAAGACATATGTAACTACATGAATATAATGCATACAGAAAAAAGCATGCATATTTTGCATGATATCAGTGTTAACTCTGGGGTGTGTGCGTCGAGGTCAGTGAAATCTAAAGTGTAATGAGCCCTAACCATTCTGTTGCACTGTACTGTCATTCATCATCTAGCCAGGCATCCAGCCACACTGATGCTGTCTGCCCAGGCGTGAAGACACATCCTGGGCATGCAACCATGACTCAAATTCCAACAGCATCGAGGACACACAGAAAGGGACTATGAAAATAACCTTAAAAGACAGGTAGTTTTGATAATAAAAAAAATTAATCTAGAGGTTTTGAATTCTGATTTATATAAATGTGGTAAAAGGCGGGTTATCATGTGCAAATCTGTGCTTAGCATTTATTAAAAACTGAAAAATACTCTGATACTAAATCTGGTATATGTACTTCAAACTATGTGTCATTGGTTCAGTTTTGATGCAAACTACTGTATACTGAACAAACACCTCAATAGCAGTGTCATAGGCTCAATGCTATGGATGGATTGAGCACCTAACACTTAAAATGCACCGAAATCACTGCATAATGGATGATACAAAAACGCCCTGCACCTCCCAACAGCACAGCAGCAATTTCAATAAAAGCATTTCCTACTGGTTGAAAATATACCTATATTTACCTTACTGTGAGTTAGCCTAGCGATGTTCAACTGTCTGAAAATGCCTCCCAAACAATGAAGCAAATCTGCCAACTAGGCCACAAGCAATGCATTTGGAGAAGCCCACAATTTTAAAAGAACCAGTTGCTAGGGAACAATGCCATATTACAATTGAAAATATATTTCTAAAGAAATGTCTCAACAAATGTACCATTTAAGGAGTTTAGATATGTTGTGCAACTCTTCTGGGAAAGTTACAGTCACAAGGCCCATAAAGGTTAACTCTGTTAGGCAGTTTTTCCTTACGGGTAAAATGAGAAACTATCCTCCTCTCTACAAATTACATTAACAGAAAGACGTGTGTTTTTTTTTTTTGCATAAGCAGTATAGGTCTATAAGTGTCCTTCGCCCAGATGGTTCTAAACTGGATATTAAACTTTAAAAACAGCACAAAAAATTACCTAGTTTACAGAATATATCTCATTCGCATGGATCAAATACACCGTACAACATATTTTCTGCAGTTCTACTCAGCATGCTGACCAACAGGTTTCTGCATAAACATGTCTTACCTTATGTCTGCATTTCAGGACCACCCCATAGGCTCCTTTGGAAAGAAAGAAAAAGCATCATAAGCTCGATTTATACCATTTATGGCTTATATACACAAGCAACTGTTTTATAAGCAATGATACTGATGCATTTTTCTCTTTATCGAAGGATTTTAACAAAAGATGCACTCACCCTCTCCTACAATCCCAAGGACCTCAAATTTATTCATCACATTACCGATGTCAGGAATCTTCATGAAGTCAAAAGATGCCGAGGTGGTGCATATCCGGGCTGAGAGGAGCAGAAAGCCAGAGAATGGGACAGAAATCGGTGCCCGAACGGGTCATTGCAGCAAAAATCTGCTCCCGGTTGGTCACAATGCTCTTCTCATAATCCACACACACTGACACACATTCCTGCAAACTAATGCACTATGTACAGACACACACACACAGGCTTGCTCACCTGAAGAGAAAGAGTACAGAGGTTTTGCAGGGAAGGGGTCAAATAGAGTTATTCATGCATGCTGCATCTTTATTTTATATACTGTATATATATATCACATGCATATGCATCAGATCAGTGGCATATCCAGTGTTTACATCTAATGTATATTTCACATGCATATGCATGAAATGACATTGATTATGGCTCATATTCTGTCTCATTTCGCTCAGACAGGATGTGTGTAGGATTGTCATGATTCGGTTTCACTGAGGTGATGATAAACAAGGGCCACAGTTCTTCAGGACGGATCATTGTGAATTTTATAACAGTTTTTGGAATAGCAAAACAACATAGCTCTGAATGAGAATTGCAGGTGGGTGAACAATGTCAGTCTGAGAATCCTCTCCCAAACCAGAAGTCAGTGATGTAATGTGCTAAAAAAAACTAGATGGACATAAACTCAACCACCTCAGATGTGCGACAGGTATCAACTGCGCTTGATATGTGGGCAGTACCCGTTGCTTTTACACTTAAATGCATTTTCATATGCGTTTCGCAGGTCATGTCGTGACACCGACAGCTCCTAGTATGTTTGTGCATGCATTGTGCACAAAAGCGACGCATGTCTGCATCTGATGTGTTGTGCGGTATGCGCGTGCGTAAGTGTGTGTGCACGCTGGAAATATTCGTAGGTGGATGAAAGTTCTATCATTATTTTAAGCATCTTATCCACCTGACAGTGTCAAGAAATGACTGACAGCCCACACCACTCACACCCACTCTTAAATGAACAGTAAAAAATATGGTGCGGTTAAAAAAAGAAAAAAAATCACAACGATTTATACAAAGTGCCCACCCAATATAAAGACCATTTACATAACCAATACAGTTTTAAATGCATGACATAATTGATGACAGGTGACTTCGGTCTCTTGGAGTGTGTGGGCAGGAGGTGCTCGTGTTTGTGCGAAGCACCAACGATGTAACAGCCACAAACATCTAACATCCAGCGTAAAAACCAAGCGCATTGACAATATTGTACATTTATGGAAAGAGCTCCGACCAGAATACTCACTTATGTCCAAGACAACGATGCGCAAACTGTCCTCTCGCGTCGCCGAGTAACGATGTTTTCATTTTCACCTGCAGTGGTAACCCATCATCACAGCTGCAACAGTATCCACCTTCATTCTGAGCCATTGACAACCTAACAACGCGAAATTACGGACCGCAGTATGGCGAAGGCTCGCTTCATGAATATTAAGCAAGTCACGCTGACGTTGCCAGGAAACCTTGCAAGTGCGTCCAGTCACGTAATCTAATTAATATTCATGAGCCAGGCCTTCGCTGTAGTAGGGTTTAGAATTTGGCGTTCAGGCGAAGCGGCACCAAGCTGAGTGGCGGACTGCTCATACCAATAGCGTCCGAACCGAACCCCTCTGTGGCCAATCACGATGGAGGAATGCTCAGAATGGTCCTGAAGCGAAGGGTCGTCTTTGGCTGGGTTCGGTTGAGCAAATATGCATTCCTGCTCGGATGTGTTACATTTCATACATGCATGTATCCAAATTGATGTGCTCGTTTGGCGAGGCCTTGCCTGGTGTCTCTCGCTCTCTCTCTCTCTCTCTCTCTCTCTCTCTCTCTCTCTCTCTGTGTGTGTGTGTGTGTGTGTGTGTGTGTGTGTGTGTGTGTGTGTGTGTGTGTGTGAGTGAGTGTGAGTGTGAGTGGGTTGAGCTGAAAGATCAATTCAGCAGACAGCTCTGCTGAGAAGAGAAAGAAGAAGCCTTTATAAATTATGACTGAATATTATGAATTGTTGTTAAATGCTTTAAAATGTCGATCTATCTATCTATCTATCTATCTATCTATCTATCTATCTATCTATCTACTATCTATCTATCTATCTACAATCTATTTATCTATCTATCTATCTACAATCTATTTATCTATCTATCTATCTATCTACAATCTATTTATCTATCTATCTATCATCTATCTATTGTTGTTATATGCTTTAAAACGTCGATCTATCTATCTATCTATCTATCTATCTATCTATCTATCTATCTATCTACAATCTATCTATCTATCTATCTATCTACAATCTATCTATCTATCTATCTATCTACAATCTATCTATCTATCTATCTGTCTATCTATCTATCTATCTATCTATCTACAATCTATCTATCTATCTATCTATCTACAATCTATCTATCTATCTATCTATCTATCTATCTATCTATCTATCTATCTATCATCTATCTCACTATCTCTCTATCTACAATCTATCTATCTATCAATCTATCTATCATCTATCTATTGTTGTTATATGCTTTAAAACGTTGATCTATCTATCTATCTATCTATCTATCATCTATCTATCTATCTATCTATCTATCTATCTATCTATCTATCTATCTATCTATCATCTATCTATCTATTGTTGTTATATGCTTTAAAACGTCGATCTATCTATCTATCTTTCTTGTGCCTTTAGGGTTTTCCTTTTTGACGCTCTATGTAATCTCTAGCTATACTTATTGCGATTGATCTTTAGTTTTGTAGCTTTGAGATATTAATTAATTTTGTTTATTATTAAGTTTATTTATTATTATTATTATTGTTGCTGTTGTTGTTATAGAGCAGCTTGCCAGAATATCATAGCCTAATCAACCTATTTTACATGCAAAAATGCCGACTTTGTTCCCTGGTAAAAATCATTAAGAAGAATTTTTTTTTTTTTTAATAATTCCCAGTATTGGAAATCTCGAGACAGGCAGACTTACTGCATGGAGTGATTTTTCGGGAAAAGTGCATGGTGCCATCTAGCGATTATTCTGATTTAAAACGTATCAGAGGCAATGCATGAAACTTACAAATAAATTAATAAATAATATTCCAACAAGATAACAGAAATACCATGGTTTTTGTTCATACGTTTTATTTACAGCAGTCACTCATATTTAATGAGACATAATTTCACACAGTAGCAAAACCTTTTTTTTTAATCAAAACCTTTTTTTAATCAATATATAGATCATTTGAATAATTAAAAAAAAATGATACGTAATGATAAATGATGCGTCTTCGCCGCAATATTAAACCAGATAGGCTAATGGACAATTGATACTCCTTTAATTATTATGATGAAGGCTTAATAAATTACATTTTTATTGTTAGGTAATGTTTAATTGCAACTGCAAAGTACATTAAACACCTTCATATTCCTCATGTAGTTTTTCTAGCTTTTCCCCCCAACTCAATAACAATCTGTAGGCCTAAGCAAGATTTTTATAATGTCGTTCGAATTCAGTTCAGATCGCTTCTGCGTGTAAACGTGCATTTGTAAGGTAATATTGGGAGTTTGAAATTCACCTTCACTCATACAAAATGATCTGTAGTTCTTCAATGTTCCATTGACATCAATGTGAAGGCACAGATGCAGCTGGACATGCGCGGATGTGCGAAACATGGCGGCCTCGACCCAATAGAAAGTAAAGCAGCACAGCAGAACTGTCCGACCTTACACAGTGAGCAGACATAAGTGGTGCATTTTTTTCATATTTATTATAGAGAATCAATTCTGCTGCAGTGTATTCTGCATCTAATGCGATTGTTAAATAGCACCGTGGTCCCACTGATGCGGAGGCTGAATGCATGTTTACACATAAGATGATGTTCTGTGTGCGTGCGCTGTTATTCCCGGAACTAAAGAGCTTCCTGCCTCTCTAATTGGCGCACTGGTGTTGAGTGCATGCGGGAAACTATTTACAGTGCATCTGAAAGTACGTCAGATATATGTGTTATGTATTACATGCATAAGTTTGCTTAATAAAGCAATGAAAATAATTGTAGTTATTCAACACTGCCTTTACATGACATCGACCCCAAAACATATGTGTAAATGAAATTTTGTTTTGTCTTGTAATGTAATTATCACACTATTTGATTAACATTTCATGTTTTTATTCATTCCCTTTTTGTTTTGTTTTTTCCTCACTCCAGTCCAGAGTCCCTCCCAGTAATGATTTTAAAGTGGGACTGAAAGTGAAGGCTTGTGACCCGAGGAATTCCAGCTCAATGTGTATCGCCACGGTGATGGGGTTAATGGGTGTGAGTCTGCGGCTCAGACTGGATGGCAGTGACAGCACCAATGACTTCTGGCGACTGGTTGACTCCTCTGACATTCAACCTATCGGCACGTGTGAGAAGAGTGGAGACATGTTGCAGCCACCACTAGGTAAAGTAGTTTTTTTTTTTTAAACAAAATTAATCAAATATACTGCAATGAAGGATTCAAACAAAGTCCCGTTTAGGTCTAAATTAGTTGGTTATGGCATCAAAATGTTGTCATTTTAAAGTGATTTGCAAAGATCCCACAAAGCTAAATTGATTAGAATCTGTTTGTTTCCCTTTCATACAGCATAATGATTTTAAAATGAAATTTTGCCCTTGGCTGTACATATTAATAGCAATATATTATTTTTCTTTTTTTTCATTATACATTTTCTGTTTAATACCCATTTCCCATAATTAGGGTTCAGAATGAATGCCTCTTCATGGCCCATGTTCCTATTAAAAACATTAAGTGGGGCAGAGATGGCTCCAGCTTCAGCCTTTAAAAAGGTAATTACTTTAATTTGCAAACCATGTTAACAAGCCCTTCATAGATCCATGAATAAAGCTTTGAAATAAATGGAAAGTGGTGGGTTTGTTGCATAATTTATGCATAACAAAAATTCAGACAGGAATAAATATTACAAACATTATTCAAATGTTTAGATTTTTAGCATACATTACCAGTCAAAAGTTTGGAATTAAGATTTAAAAAAAAAAGTTTTTGAATGGAAAAAAAAAATGAGAGAGTAAATGAGTCTCTTATGCTTACCAAGACTGCATTTATTTAATCAAAAACAGTAAAACAGTAATATTGTGAAATATCATTATAATTTAAAATGACTGTAATGACTATTTTTCTGTTATAAAATACAAACCCGATTCCAAAAAAGTTGGGACACTGTACAAATTGTGAATAAAAACAGAATGCAATGATGTGGAAGTTTCAAATTTCAATATTTTATTCAGAATACAACATAGATGACATATCAAATGTTTAAACTGAGAAAATGTATTATTTTAAGGGAAAAATAAGTTGATTTTAAATTTCATGGCATCAACACATCTCAAAAAAGTTGGGACAAGGCCATGTTTACCACTGTGTGGCATCCCCTCTTCTTTTTATAACAGTCTGCAAACGTCTGGGGACTGAGGAGACAAGTTGCTCAAGTTTAGGAATAGGAATGTTGTCCCATTCTTGTCTAATACAGGCTTCTAGTTGCTCAACTGTCTTAGGTCTTCTTTGTCGCATCTTCCTCTTTATGATGCGCCAAATGTTTTCTATGGGTGAAAGATCTGGACTGCAGGCTGGCCATTTCAGTACCCGGATCCATCTACGCAGCCATGATGTTGTAATTGATGCAGTATGTGGTCTAGCATTGTCATGTTGGAAAATGCAAGGTCTTCCCTGAAAGAGACGACATCTGGATGGGAGCATATGTTGTTCTAGAACTTGGATATACCTTTCAGCATTGATGGTGCCTTTCCAGATGTGTAAGCTGCCCATGCCACACGCACTCATGCAACCCCATACCATCAGAGATGCAGGCTTCTGAACTGAGCGCTGATAACAACTTGGGTTGTCCTTGTCCTCTTTAGTCCAGATGACATGGCGTCCCAGTTTTCCAAAAAGAACTTAAAATTTTGATTCGTCTGACCACAGAACAGTTTTCCACTTTGCCACAGTCCATTTTAAATGAGCCTTGGCCCAGAGAAAACACCTGCGCTTCTGGATCATATTTAGATATGGCTTCTTTTTTGACCTATAGAGTTTTAGCCGGCAACGGCGAATGGCACGGTGGATTGTGTTCACCGACAATGTTTTCTGGAAGTATTCCTGAGCCCATGTTGTGATTTCCATTACAGTAGCATTCCTGTATGTGATGCAGTGCCGTCTAAGGGCCCGAAGATCACGGGCATCCAGTATGGTTTTCCGGCCTTGACCCTTACGCACAGAGATTGTTCCAGATTCTCTGAATCTTTGGATGATATTATGCACTGTAGATGATGATAACTTCAAACTCTTCGCAATTTTTCTCTGAGAAACTCCTTTCTGATATTGCTCCACTATTTGTCGCCGCAGCATTGGGGGAATTGGTGATCCTCTGCCCATCTTGACTTCTGAGAGACACTGCCACTCTGAGAGGCTCTTTTTATACCCAATCATGTTGCCAATTGACCTAATAAGTTGCAAATTGGTCCTCCAGCTGTTCCTTATATGTACATTTAACTTTTCCGGCCTCTTATTGCTACCTGTCCCAACGTTTTTGGAGTGAAATCTCGTGAAATCCAAAATGAGCCAATATTTGGCATGACATTTCAAAATGTCTCACTTTCAACATTTGATATGTTATCTATATTCTATTGTGGATAAAATATAAGTTTATGAGATTTGTAAATTATTCCATTCCTTTTTTACTCACAATTTGTACAGTGTCCCAACTTTTTTGGAATTGGATTTTTTATTTAAAAATGTAATTTTTAACATTATTTATTTATTTATTTATTATTAATTTATTCTTGTACATGGACGGTCTGTTTTCTGTGAATGCCTCAGGAGCCGCCCAATCCTACTCAGAGCTACTTTAAACCTGGTATGAAACTGGAAGCAGTGGACCGAAAGAATCCTTACCTCATCTGTCCTGCTACCATCGGAGAGGTGAGAGGGGACAAGATATTCATCATGTTTAATGGCTGGAGAGGAGCGTTCGATTACTGGTGTCAGTATGACTCCAGGGACATCTTCCCCGTGGGCTGGTGTCAACTGACCAACCACAGTCTGCAACCTCCCGGGCCCGGCAACTGCTGTGAGTACATTCTGTGACCACCAGGGCTCACTACAGTTTTGTGTTTGGGAACTGTTCAGTTTTTTGGGGGTGGAGTGATGCTATGCTATAATGAGCACAGATCAACTTTAAAGAAGTCTGTGCTCAAATATTTAGTGTCTTGAAGTCGAAGTGAACAGTGACTGTCTTTTACTGGTCCAATTGCCACCATTCACAGTTTCTTGCTGATTAAATCTGAGGGCTGATATTTAATTATACACTCTAAAAAATGCTGTTTTGACCCAGCGGTTGGGTTAAATGTTTAACACAACCTTCTGGGTAGTAACCCAACCGCTGGGTCAAAACAACCCAATTGCTGGGTTTGTCCCTATTTTACCCAGCACTGGGTTGTATTTAACCCTGCATTTTTAGAGTGTAGTATCCATGATTTTGAAATTTGAGATCAAGTTTTTTTTTATTGTACAGCTTCCATTACATTTTTATCTTTTTTAATCAGTTTCATACTTAGTAAACAAATATTGAAGTTTATTACTATGTCAAATATAGGAGAAAATTTGTAAGATATTTTAAATGATTTTAAATGAATGTATCTATCTTCTTTTGAAATGTGAGCAACAAGCAGACACACTGCAGACGCCTAATTCTTCTTGGCAGCAACATTTACTTAACATGCACACTTTGCAGGACTACACATTGCCTGATGTGCTGTAAATCTGGGATGTGATGGTTTATAGCTGTCTGTTGGTGCTGTTCAAATGTTTCACGCCAGTTTGTGTGGCTCTGGCAGAATAATTGATGTGAAGTGAATGAAAACTGAGTTCTTGATGAATGGGGGTAGTTATGTGTGTCCTATCAGTTCTTCCTGCTCTGAATACTTTCAAGGCTTGTTTACTGCTCTCTTCCTGCTTTTACCAGAGCGGACATGACCAGACAGAAAGGATATTGAATGTTAGGAGATGTTTCCCATTTATCCTAGTCAGATACCACAGCCTTTATTTATCTATGAGTACAAATGAACAAATCATTCTGGGATTATATTATGATTTACACAAGGAACACTTTTCTTTTTTCCACTTCTTGTCCAAAAGCTTGTTTCACATACTGTACGTCTTGATTGACTGAATTGCGAAATTGTGTGGGATGGCTGGTGGTTTTTGAAAATATACTAAGTTTGATTGAGCATCTATGGCATTCTAATGTTTGCTTGTTTGTTTGTTTGAAAGGCATTTTGCAATATTTCTCCTTGAAGTTATTGGTGGAAATAAATAAGTGGCCAAAATAAAAAAATTGCTCATCTTTGACTGCACCAAAGATTCAGAATTCATTTTTACTCCAAAAACAGCAGACATTTTTCCTTTGAATGAAAACAACAGTCATTAATGCTTTTTCATTACTTAATGCAATTATTTTGTGTACTAAATTTAGTAAGGCCATAGGCAAATTTTATATATAAATATGAAAAAGCAAATGGTTCAAATAAATTCTGATGGTATTTTAGTTAACTTTGAATGGAGGCACGAGAGCAGGAACTGTGCATTTACCCTTTCCTTTGTGTGTGATGTGTCTTTATTTGCCTTTCATAGTAGTTTTAACTGATCATTAGTGAGTATCACCTTTCTAAAGTGCGCTGAAAAAAAATGTGTCTGTGGGTGTTTGAATGATGTCTTAATTTTTTTCTATAATTCTATTATTTTTTTAGCTGACGCAGAACACATTGTGTATGTGCACATGTGCATTTATTAATAATGTAGCAAAGAACAATAAGAGTAATAAGAGCTTAGGACAATGGATGCAAGGCAAAGGACGAACATGTGTTTCAGATCTTTTGCAGTTAGTTACAGATAAATTAGACTTTCTTAAAAATTAAAATATGGTTTCAACTTAATCTCTCCTAAAAATAAAAGTGTTTAGATTTCCTGTAATTTGGGGAGATGATGGAATATCTGGAGTTGTGCTGGTTTGTGTTAGAATATGTCTTCTGAGAGTTTGTTTTGATTCAGGTCATTAAATTATGTTTCTCATGTACTATTACGAAAGAGCTCAAAGATTCAGCCTCTAGTTATTCCGCATACAGTAGGAAGCACATTTGTAACAGTGTTTCAGGGAAAATTAAAGCAAAATTGTCTGTCACAAGTCTTTTTTTCCCTACCCATCTCAGATGGTAATTTGATACAATAATGTTATAAAATATATATATTTTTAATTTCCAACATACCTTAATTTATTTTCTTATAATAATAAAAATTAAATTCTGTAGTTTAGAGTACAACAATAATCCATTATGTTGTATGCTTTGCCTAAATGATCTTCTTCATGTGCCATTTTAAGTTATATTTAGAGCTATTTATTAGTACTATGTTATGCATATTAGTTATGCGTTCACCTCTGCTCCTGCTGTGCTCTCACACCTAAAGTGAGAACAACAGGGCCAGATTTCTTAATAAGTGTTGGTGCGTTCACACATCTCGCACACTTGAGGTGGCTTAATGCATTTAATATAAATGTGTGAGACAAGCAGACAAATCCAATTTGTCTGTAGCCTATCTGTGTATTTGTAATACATTTTACTATACACTCTTAAAAAATGCTGGGTTAAATACAACCCAGTGCTGGGTAAAATAGGGACAAACCCAGCAATTGGGTTGTTTTGACCCAGCGGTTGGGTTAAATGTTTAACCCAACCTTCTGGGTAGTAACCCAACCG